TTAGTTATTGCAAGCAGATTATTGCATCGTTTCTCCCTCACCACCAGCGCTGCGACGGCCGGAAAGATTGCAAGTTGAGCGAAGATGAAGTTGACTGCGAAGGTCGACTCAATTTTGAAGTGAGACTCGTCAACGGGTCTGGTGCTTATGAGGGTCGCGTCGAGGTCAAAGGTCAGTCTGTTACCTGTATTTTTTTTGTGAGGTGGTATGGGTCTGGGATAAAAAAAAATCTGGAAAAGTTTGTGTTTGATTTTGGTTTGAGGGAGCCTTTGAGAACTAAGATGGTGATGATGATCACCATCATCACATCACCATCACCATCACCATCACCACCCATCCACACCCCACCCACCATCAACCACCATCACCACCACCACCACCCACCACCATCACTCACCAACCATCACCACACCACCACCACCCCACCACCCCACCACACCACATCACCATCACCATCACACCATCACCATCACCACCCCACACCACCACCACCACCACCACCACCACCCACCACCACCACCACCATACCATCACCATCACCAAACCACCACCACCACACACCACCACCACCACCACACCACCACACACCACAACCACCACCACCATCACCATCACCACACCCACCACCATCCACCATCACCACCAATCACATCACACACCCACCACACCACCACCACACCAACCAATCACCACACCATCACCACCATCAACCACACCACACAACCACCACCACCACCACCACCACAACACCACCACCACACCCCATCACCACACACCACACCACCACACAACCACTACCACCACCACACCACACACCACCACCCACCACCCACCACACATCACCACACACCATCACATCACCACACCACACCACCAACCACCACCATCACAACCATCACCATCACCATCACCACACCACCACCACCACCACCACCCACACCACCACACCACCACACCACCATCACCATCACCCACCACACCACCACCCATCACCACTCACCCATCACTAGCACCACACCACCACCACCACACACCACCATCACCATCACCACATCCCATCACACCACCACCACCACCACCATCACCATCACCACCACCATCCACACACCACCACCACCACATCACACCATCACCATCACCATCACCACCACCACCACCACCACACCACCCACCACCACACCACCACCACCATACTTTATACATCCTCATAGTTATTGCCACCGAATCCACTCCTCTGATCGAGATAATCCCGTTTACATTAATGAAGCAAATCACACAACCGAAGGCCAATTAAACAAATTCCCCACAACACCGTTATACAAAGACCCTCTTCTCTTTCTGTCTGTCTCTGTCTGTCTGCCTCTCTGTGTTTCTCTCTGACTCTGTCTCTGCTCTGCCTCTCTCTGACTGTCTGTGTCTCTTTGCTTGTCACTCACTCACTCACTCTCTCTGTCTCTCTGTCTCTCTTTCTCTGTCTGTCTCTCTCTTTCTCTCTGTCTCTCTTTGTTTGTCTGTCTGCCTGTCTCTCTCTCTCTCATTCTTTCTCTATCTGCCTCTGTCTTAAATCTTAAAATCTTAAATCTCTCTCTGTGTCTGCCTCCCTCTCTCTCTCTCTCTCTCTCTCTCTCTCTCTCTCTCTCTCTCTCTCTCTCTCTCTCTCTCTCTCTCTCTCTCTCTCTCTCTCTCTCTCTCTCTCTCCTCCTCTCCTCTCCTCTCCCTCTCCTCTCCTCTCCTCTCCTCTCCCTCTGCCTCTGCCTCTGCTCTGCTCTGCCTCTGCCTCTCCCTCTCCTCTCCCTCTCCCTCTCCTCCCTCCCCCCCTCCTCCATCAGTTCCCACAAGATCAACAGAGATGCATAAACAAACGCCATATAACCCCCCTACTTCTCTACAGTGTTTGGTCGTTGGGGTCCCGTTTGCGATGACATGTGGGGTCTGCCTGAGGGGGACGTGGTCTGCCATCAGCTGGGCTTTCCTACGGGAGCTAAGGATATCTTTGTCGACTCACAGTGAGTATTTTTATTTCAAAGGATGAGTATTTTATATTTGTTCGTTTTAGGGTCTTCGGGGATAGTGTCTGAGTTTTTTTTTTTCGTTTTGTGATATATATGTAATATGTATGTATGTATATATATTTTTTTTTTTCTCGTTTTTTTCTTTCTTTTTATCTGTTTTTTTCCTTTTTTCCTGTTTTCTTTCTTTTTTTTCTTTCCTTTCATTTCCTTCTTATTGATTTATTTATTTCTGAATACTACATAATGATGGTTTAGGGAATATGAAAGTATGACGTCACGAGATGTTCTTCGATCTCTTCATGATAGTATTGTTTGCTTAGTTATTTCAACTGTCTTAGCGGTATGTTTTAATATTCCTTTCTATATCTTTCTTTCACTGCCTCTGTCTCTATTATATATTAGCTTCTCATACATTCTCTCTCTCTGTCTCTCTCTCTCTCTCTCTCTCTCTCTCTCTCTCTCTCTCTTTCTCTCTCTCTCTCTCTCACTCCCTCCCTCAGTATCTATCAATTTCTCACTCACTTTATCTGGTTCGCTATGGCATATATCTGTATATCTAGTTCTCTCCCTAACTTTTTCCCTCTTTTCCTCTATCCCTCTCTTCTGTCATTCTTTCCTCGTTCTTTTTATATATCTTTATCAATCAGTTTTCCACGTGTGCCTTTTTCATGTTACACCCCATTGTTTTCCGCTGCAACGATTTTTTTTTTCTTTTGCTAAATCAAAATTGAACGTACATATATACGATTTGTTTTGGAATCCTTACGTAGTTAGAGCAAAGAAGAAAAAAAATGATATAGTAAAGATAATAGTGATTACGATATGAAGATAATAAGGACAATAGTGATAGACGTAAGAAAGTTATAAAAAGTTAATTATGAAAACATGTGATAATAACAGGAATAATAGCAATGATAATGAGAATAATGATAATGGAAACCAACAATAAAGATCATAATAACAATAAGGATAACGACACCGAATGATAAAGAAACAACAAAATAAAAGAATAAATAAACAGATTAGAGCCACGCCCTCACCCATAAAAAATCAAAATAAAACAGACACAAAGAACTAAAAATAACTAAACAAAAGAATAAATAAACAAACAAAAGCCATGCCCCCCCAAAAAAAAAGAAAAAAAAAGAATAAAAAAGATTTTTTTTCTCCAAATTTCCCCCCCCCCAAAAAAAAAAAAAAAAATAAAAAAAATAAAATATAAATAAAATGAAAAAAAATAAAACAGAGACAAAGAAAGAAAGGAAGATAAAAATCTCTTGATATATTCCCAGGTTCGGTTCGGGAAATAGCCAGTATTTGATGGACGATCTCAACTGCCACGGCAACGAAGAGAGCCTCGCCGACTGTGATTTCGCGGGCTGGGGAGAACACGACTGCCAGACGTCCGAGGTGAGTGTGTGAATGGAGAATGGGGAGAATATAAATTGTGAATGAATACGTACGATTGTAAATAAAGGGGGGAAAATGTGAATGGGAAGGGTATAAATTGTGAATGAATAGGTACGATTGTAAAAAAAGGGGGAAAATGTGAATGGGGAGAATTGTGAATGAATAAGTCCGATTGTAAAAAAGGGGAAAATGTGAATGGGGAGAATTGTGAATGAATACGTACGATTGTAAAAAGGGGAAATATGTGAATGGGAAGGGTATAAATTGTGAATGAATAGGTACGATTGTGAAAAAAGGGGAAAATGTGAATGGGGAGGGTATAAATTGTGAATGAATAGGTACGATTGTAAAAAGGGGGAAAATGTGAATGGGGAGAAATATAATTGTGAATGAATACGTACGATTGTAAATAAAGGGGAAAAATGTGAATGGGAAGGGTATAAATTGTGAATGAATAGGTACGATTGTAAAAAAGGGGGAAAAGTGTGAATGTATAAATTGTGAATGAATAGGTACGATTGTAAAATAAGGGGAAAATGTGAATGGGAAGGGTATAAATTGTGAATGAATAAGTACGATTGTAAAAAAAGGAGAAAAATGTGAATGGGAAGGGTATAAATTGTGAATGAATAGGTACGATTGTAAAAAGGGGAAAATGTGAATGGGGAGAATTGTGAATGAATAAGTCCGATTGTAAAAAAGGGGGAAAATGTGAATGGGGAGAATTGTGAATGAAATGTAATGTGAATGATAATTGTGAATGAATAAGTACGATTGCTCGTGAAAATAATATTCAAATTGAGTATTATCCATTGTATTGGTATAAAATAGATTCTAAAAGTTATCCACAGTATAAATAATATTCATGTAAGATTTGCTCGTGAAAATAATATTCAGATTGAGTATTAACCCTTGTATTAGTATGAAATAGATTCTATATATACACGGTTACAGTAATATTATGAAATATATTCTAAATATACATTATCCATAGTGATAGTAAGAAATAGGCTCTAAATGTAGATTGTTATCCAAAATATAAGCCTGAAAAGGGTTCTGAAATTGCATGGTTGTCTACAGTATAATTATAAAATAGGTTCTGAATATACATTATCTGCAGTATTAGTATAAAATAAGCTCTAAATGTATATTATTATCCAAAATATTACTATGACATAGATTCTGAAAATATTGCTCTCCCCAATATTAGCATGAAATATATTCTGAAAATTCATGAAAAATAGATTCTGAAATACATTTATATATACAAAATGATTCTGAAAATTCATTGTATATACTCCAAAAAATAGATTCTGAAAAATATACATTATACTACAAAAATAGATCATGAAATTACATTAATATATACTACAAATAGATTCTGAAATTCATTATATATACTAAAAATAATTCTGAAATACTTTAGATTCAGAAAAAAATACATACTACAAACATAGATCATGAAAATACATTACATATACTACAAAAAATAGATTCTGAAAATACATTATATATTCTACAAAAATAGATTCGATTCTGAAATACATTATTATACAACAAAAAATAGATCAGAAAAAA